TAGCTTATTGTTGTATAGTTTTTTTTTGGAAACACGTGATAAAAATAGTGAATTTTAGTAGGAAAGAGACATGAATGATGCAACGAATCAAAAATCAGCCTTATGAACCAAAATCTGATAGAAACCTGTAATTAGGGTTCTATTGGTTTCTAGGGAATTTGGGGAAAAGAGTAATTACCAATGTGGTAATGGCCATTTGGCGTGGAATGAAGAAAGGGAGAAGGGAGTTGGGGAAAGAATTAGGAGAGGGGAGGGAATTGCTGCGGCAGCAGCTTGGGAAAAGGAGGAAGGGAGTTCGGTAGGGAGAGAGGAGAAGAAAGGATTAGGGATTCTCAACTTAAGGTTTAATCTTTTGCTAATCTCATTCAACGTAGGAGAATAGTTTAAATAACAATTCCTAATTACCGATGACTACCCCAACTTATTAAACCCCCAATCAAATCCCCCAATTAATCATAAATTCGTAAACAATCATAAACTAGCAAATAAGTCCAAATGCTAAATAAATCGAAATGCAGGTTTCTATCATCCCCGCCTTCTTCGAATCAACCTTGTCCTCAAGGTTGCTAGTCCTCCACCCGATCTTCGCCCCTGCCTTCCGCCGCATCTTCCTCGGTCTCATCCTCCCATCTTCCCACCAGCATCATCAAGTCCGGCTTCACACACTTATGCCCAATGGTGAACCGCTCATCACAGTTGAAGCACTTGCCTTCCCTTCTCTTCTGATCTATCTCCGCTGAGCTTAGCCTGACAAAGCCCTTAGGCAGAGCCCTCGGCCCAAGCCGTGCCACCGGGACCACTGCTCCCGGTGCCGCGCCAGCCCCGCCGTTAGCAGTAATAGCGGTGCTGCCACTCCCGCTACTCCCTGCACCAGCGTGGCCTCCTCCTCCAGTCTTGGGGTAACGCCCTATGACGTTCCTCCAGCTTACCAGCTCCTCCTCCTTGTGCCATGCAAGACGAAAAACAGCCCGCAAGGTATCTGGCTCAAAAATCTTGACTGCTGCAGCAACCTCGGGTTTTAGACCTGCCATGCACATGCCCACTAGGGTCTCCTCTGGAACTCCCTTACACTAGTTTCCCAGTTTGAGGAACTCTCCCCGGTAATCAGTTACCGAGCCGGTCTGCCTGAGCTTGGCTAGCTGCTCCGGCGCCCACCCCTCGGATTTGACGAATTGGTAGCGAAGCTCCTCTTGAAAGATCGGCCAAGTAATCAGCGTTAGCGCGACAGCATAGGATCGCTCTAACCACTCCCACCAGTGCAGGGCGTCTTCCTCCAGATAGAAGGACACCAGTTGCGCCTTCCTTTCCTCCCGGGTTGGGTGATTTCTGAACCACCTGTCAGCTGCATATAACCATAAACCGGCGTCCTCCTAGCCATTGGATTTTGGAAACTCAATGGTTAGGGGCTTGGCCCTAAACACCAACCCATACTCATCATCATATCGATCATATCCATCATACCTGCCCGCACTGGGGTAGCCTCTGTAATACCCAAGAGGTTCGCGTGCGTCGTCTCCTGCACCCCAGGCATGTCCGTTCTCGCCTGAGTAGTCTCCGTACCCACCCGGTTGACCCCCTGAATCTCCTGCTGCTGCTGCTATCGAAGGTCCGTATGCGCTTAAGCCCTCCAGCTGGGCCCGCCATTCAGCTACTAGCCGGCCATCCAGAATCAACCCGAACCGGTGGGGTTCGCTTACGGTTCAACCCAACATGGTTCGGCCATTGGTGGTCCACCCGGCCTTGGTCCGGTCGCTAACGGTCCACCCAGCTTCTGGTCGACCCTCCTCATTCCACCCTGCCCGAGCCGACCATTATTGGTCCACCCATCACCAGTTCGACCGGCTTTGGTCCACCCAGCCCCGGTCCGATCGCCTTCGACCCAGCCCGGTCCGGTTTGACCATTTGGGCCCGGCCGATTTACCATGACCCGATCCGCCCCGCCTGCCCGATGGAACCCGCCCCCGGCCCGCTGCACTCGGCCCATCTCGCGCTCCATGGGGTGTGGGCCCATTGGGTTGAAACACGGGTTCTGGACCACGTTGTCGTAGCCCGGCATCTTCGGCTTACCACGTATGGCCTCGATCTCCTCAGCCGTCGGAGTCGGCAGCAGCCCGGGCCCATTACGAGGCCCCTCAATCGAGGCCCACTCGCTCGACCATCGCCTGCCCTACGATGGCCGCGGCCGCTCCTCCTCCTGGGCCCGTCGCCGCCCCGCTAGCCGCCGGGACAGCCGCGCACTTCCGCATCCAGCGCCCGCGCGAGGGTTTTCCGCCACCGCTGGGCTCGCCCGAATTGTCTCCACCTCGCCACAATATCCACCGCCGAGCCCCAACGTCGCCAGCCGTCTCTGCTCCTTCTGCATGCTGGTGAGGAGTTGCATGATCACGTCACTTTCACGCCTGGCCTCTTCAACCTCAGCCCGCACCTCCTCCATGTTGGAGTCGGTCCTCAACTGCATCGCCATGATGGTGCGCATCGAGGCTTGGATCTATCGTCATTCTCCATCTCGTCCACCACGACCCCTTTGCGCCGATTGTCCGCCAGTGGCGAGGAAGCCCTGGTCGTGGCCGCCGCCGCATTGGATCCAGCATCGGACTTCTCTGCACGAGACTTGGTGGTCGCCATGGTTCTGCTGCCCGTCCCGGTATAAAGTTGCGACAAACTCAATAGTCGGAATCGGGCTCTGATACCAGATGATAAAACCTGTAATTAGGGTTCTATCCGCTTCTAGGGAATTTGGGGAAAAGAGTAATTACCAAGGTGGTAATGGCCCTTTGGCGTGGAATGAAGAAAGGGAGAAGGGAGTTGGGGGAAAGAATTAGGATAAGGGAGGGAATTGTTGCGGCAGCAGCTTGGGAAAAGGAGGAAGGGAGTTCAGCAGGGAGAGAGGAGAAGAAAGGATTAGGGATTCTCAACTTTAGGTTTAATCTTTTGCTAATCTCATTCAACGTAGGAGAATAGTTTAAATAACAATTCCTAATTATCGATGACTACCCCAACTTATTAAACCCCCAATCAAATCCCCCAATTACCCATAAATTCGTAAACAATCATAAACTAGCAAATAAGTCCAAATGCTAAATAAATCGAAATGCATGTTTCTATCAAAATCAAGTACCTGTTACCTTGTGAAACAATATTGTTTCTGGTAATATGATGAGGTGGAGTAAGTTTTATAGAAACCGAATTCCAGAAATCGAATAAAAAATTGCCTATCCCGCCAGTTTTTGGGAGGTGAGCATCTCACAAGCGTTGCTAGCTTTTACTCGGCCCGTTTGCCGATTAATTTGCTTTATAAAACTTTCATCTTGTCATCATTGTGCTTTCTAGTTTTTTGCCAAGTCATGATAAAATATAAAGAAATCAAGAATGAACAACTCGATTTGGGATAGGAACCACCGTTCCTGTATCCCTAGAAAATGGTGGTAAACACGGACTCACCTGCCAAACTGGTTTGGATTGAGATTTTTATCGGGTATCAGGGAACCATGTGATTATAAATTAGACTTGACCAAAATGAGCCAAAACTTGAAATTCAGCCTGTTTGACCGACCCATGCCAAACTCTAATTATTCTTTACTTTTAGACTTTCTATTTGAATATAAAAAAATAATGAAAGAAAAGATATGACTGTAATTCGTCATTTTCACATCACTGATTCGGGAATAAAACTATAGCATTTCGAAAGGAAACTGAAAATGTTTAGGATTGTTTTAATGTTAAAAATAACCAAATAGATCTTTCTGTTTAGTTTTTTACTAACAAATACCAAACGATTCCCTATAATATCACTATAATTTAATCATTATGATATCAAATAATTACATAATATATATTTGAAATAATAAAAATTGGACTAATTGGGTTGGTCGAGGTTGAACCATTGAATAACTTTAAAATACATTATATTTTAGCCACTAAGATATAAAATAATAGCATAATATATATTATGCTAGAGAAAATAGCTTGTTTTAGAATGACAAACCCATGATGTTCATTTATTTTACTTGATGGGCAAATCCCGTGAAGGTCAGGCCCATTCAACTCTTTTATTTTATGATTAGCGGTTAGCCCATTAGAACCCATACATTAGTTTATTGTTAATTTTTTTTATTTTTAGCAATAAAAAAGAGTATTGTTTTTGCCTTTTCATATATATTTTATCACCACGGAGAAATAAAAAGACTTAAAGAAAAAATTGACACTCCTGGACCCGTTTAAATCCGCACGTGTACGGTAAGTTGGCCCGTTCCACAGAGGAAAATGAAAAAATATTGACACTCCCTATTCTACCCTTCCTACAAACGCTCATGGAGCAGGGAATTTGAAATGGGAGAAGGGTTTTTTCCTCTTTGCGATTATATGTTTTTAATTTAAAAAGATATAACAAATGTACTTAGTGTGATTGGTTATGATCTTTGCTTTTCTTTAAAGTGGTCATGGTTTGAATCTTAGTAAGTGTCTTTTTAATGAATAAAAAAAGTAATTGTGAAGACCAAAATATCCTTCCTACTTTCACTATAAATGTAGAAAATTTGAAATGGAGTTTCAAGTTTTCTCATTCAACTTTTTTTTATTGTGTAGATAGATAGGTATTGAGGTATCTTTCCACCTCGCCATATTGTTGTCACTAGATCCACTAATGATTCTGTTCTGTTATCTATCCGCAGGTCTGTGGATTCTGTTGTCCTCCAGCCCAATAGGCTGGCTTCTTAGTAAGTTGGAGAAGTCAGACTCGATTGACTGGTCCATGGGAGTTTGGGCTTTCGGCCAGCTCCTCTCTTCATTGGCTTTGTCATGGACTACACGCCAACAAACATCCATCCTCGCGAGGTAGAGACGCAGTCGGCATCACAATTCACAACCCCAACCAACGTTATCCATTTCTTTTCTAAATAAAACACCCGTAAAAACGGAAGAAAAAGCCATTAAACGACACACACAGGTTTCTGAAAGTAAAAAGGAGAGCTCAGCCCAGCTCAAGGACAGAGGGAGCTAAAATGGCTTCATCATCAATCTCACAATCACCTATCCTGCATTCAATCGCAGCTACTCATCTGAAGCCTCGCTCGAATCCCACTACTTCATTTCCATGGAGGCGCAGAACATTTCGTCTCCCGGTCATCCGAGCAAGCACACTCTGTGAAAGCTCGGCTCTCCTTCATGCAGCCAAGCATACTGTAAGTCTGTAACCGACTATATCTTTCCCGCTCCACCCGACTCAAGTTGAAATTGTTGTCTCTGAAACTCAATTGTGGAGCTCATCTTTTTGTAGGTCGATACCTACATTGAAAATGGCATGGTCGTCGGGTTGGGGACCGGCCAAGCTTCTGCAATGGCTATACAGTATTTGGGTCAGCAACTGCGTTCTGGCGCTTTAAAAGATTTGGTAGGCATACCCATGTGAGTTTTTCTTTTGACCCTTGTCCACAATTTCTTTGTTGATCATCGAGGAAGTAATGCTAGCCTCTTCATTGTGATTTTGAGCCTCAAAATTTGCTGCCATTTATGACTTCTCATCAATCACTAGTCACTATTATTATTATTATCATTGAGTGGGGTATGTGATTTGGTCCCCTTTTGATGCAGGACTGTTGCCATTGCAAGTGAAGCTGCAAAGGCAGGCATTCCATTGGATCAATATGCAACTACTTCTCAAGTGAGCTAAATGTTTACTCTCTTTGTTTCCTTTCCAAACCAGTAGATCAATTCAATTGGAAGCTTCTATGACATCTTGTTCTAAAGTGTATTGTTGCACACACCAGTGGTAGCAGAAGCGTTGAAGAATTGCTAGTTTTATTTGCAATATCTCTTGCTTGGTAACGAGAGATTAGAATTTATATGCGATTGGATTTCAGGTGTAATATACTTAAGTAGAAACTAGTTCCCTTACTGCGAGCTCCAAATGCTTAAAATCGTTTAAGAGAGTATTGATGTTTTGCCACTGAAGTTGGTGTTTCATAGATTGATTTTGCGTTCGCCGATGCTGATGTGATGGAAGAAGAAACGCTAGTTGCAGTTATTGGTAGGAGAAAATTACAGGAGGACGAGTCTCTAATTCAAGAGAAGGTCAGTAAGTTGGTATTCTAATGGTGTGATGTCCTATTTCCTTTGGAATTCAAATTAAGGATCAAAATGTTCTCCAGTGAGGTAATGGCGGATTGTCTTTGAAATTACCTGATATTCAAAACATTTTTTTGCTTCGTTGCTAAGCTTAGACAACTATTACTGACGCATTTTTTCTCTCTTTGCAGCTGCTCCTAAATGCAGCTAGGAAGCTTGTATTCATGATGACTGAGAAACAGTATAAAAGTGACCTGGAGGGTTCTATCCCAGTCCTGGTCCAGTCTGTAAGCAGTCCTACATCATATCTGTGTTGGCTTGGACTGCTGGAAGAAGTCCATCGTCTGATAGTCACTTACTGTGTTTCAGCTGGGCTGGATGGAAGCTGCTGAAGCAATTGAAGACTTGTTCTTAGGAGATGCAGAGGTATGTATGAGCTACTTTTCTACTGGTCATCCCTTTGCCAGACTTATGCCAGTAGAAATTGTTTATCTTGTCTTGTTGAATTCATAGGAATGAGTTCGCTGAATGATCTTTGACTGTTAGTTTCATATTCCCGGGAAACTTTTAGGCCACATTTCCAAAAAACAAACAAAAAAATCTCACCTTTTTCTTGTTAATGACATACAATTGGCAATCAAAGGTATGGAGAAGAGCAGCCATAGGACAAGCAGGTCCAACAGGTGGAGATTTCCCTTTGATCACTAGAGAAGGTCACAACATCCTGGATCTCATCTTCACTTCTCCAATACAAAGCCTTGGTGGGTTTTCTTATCGACCATGTCTTCTTACTGTCCGGCGGTTTGACATGGGACTAAGGCAATCAGTTTTGTCATTCTAATTTTGCAGGTGAAGTAGCTCGAAGCCTTGATAAATTGGGCGGGGTTGTGGACCATGGAGTCATTTCCAAATACCCGTTAGTCTTCTTGCTTCTGTTCATTTTTGTCTCTCCTTGAGAGTTAGAAGGGAAGAATGACCCATTCAAACATCTAATTAATTACTTTCCTGTGTTGATTGGCATGAGAACAGATGCACTGCAGTGATTGCTTCTTCTGAGAACGGGCTACGAATTGTTGACCAGATGCCAAGAGACGCTGCCGGAATCGCTTAATACTAGGCCTAGGCTGGGAAATAGATTCCAAAAGCTGACTTAGTGAGGGATGTTGATGATGAACTAAGGAGTACTATGAGTTGGTTTGTTGTTTCGTAGCGGTTTGGACGTTAGCATCGACAATATTACATCTGATATATGTTTCATCGCGTTCATATATGACGTTAGCATCGACAATATTACATCTGGTATATGTTTCATCGTATTCATATCTTAAGCTTACTTTCGGCCGTTGTAGAGTTGTAATTGACCATTTTATGAAAGAACCTGAACGGACAAAACGGTCAAATGGAATATAAGCGAATGCCACCGGCCGGTAGGTATAGCCGTATAGGGCAGTTTAAAGTTTGGACATCTACCACTCAAGTTCTCATCGTCCATGGCATTGGGAGAAACGGGAATTGTGTCCTCTTTTGGCCCGGAACTATATACAGGGGATTGAAATTGAAATTTTGGAAAAAAAAATGTCGAACCCATACTACTTTCAAGGTCAATTGTACTCATAAAAAACATATCAAAACATGTCCAATAGTCAATTGAATGGATGATAGTGTGATACCAATATTATTCCTAGACTTCGGTCACTATTGCTCAACCCTAGATTCCTCAGCCGCATGGGTTTGTCACACACTCATAGATGGTGGGAATTGGTACAATTTCGGAATAATACCGAAATCTCAAATATCGAATTACACTCTAAAATCAATCACAATTTCAATTCCTAAATAATTTTGGTATCCCAATTCCAATTCTTAAATATTTCGGTATCTCAACCGATGTTATCGAATACAAAATTAATTAATTTTGTAATTAATAATTAAATATATAAATTAAATTAGGTTGTCTAATATATGACAAGAAGACTATGCAAAAAGTAATGTGTTTGTTTAGACCTAGAACATGGATAAGAAGAAGGAGAAGGGAGGAGAGATGACATCTCAAGTTTATGTCATTGGTAATTTTTTATTTGACGGATTGGAGGTTGAGAGACTACTAGTATAGTGTTTGCTTATTGAAGTTATGAAAATAACAAGATATTAGGTGAGAGAGTAGAGTGACTTAAACTGAAAAGCCAAATTTGGGTTTGATGGGGGCTTGTGAGTTGTGAAAGAGTGCAAAGGTTGGGTGCTATATTTCATTAATTTTCAATTTTCATTATTTCTCGGTATAGGTATTTTGATATATATCGATCCCAATGTCTAAATAAATCTTAGGGGTCGTTTGGAAGTTGCGATTGTTAAATAGATGTATTGTTGAGAATGCATGTATAATATTATACATGTATTGTCGAATTTGATGCATTGTAGAATACAACGTTTGGTATGTGCGATTGTGTATGTTGCGTTAGCTAAAAGCTGAGACAAAACAATCTCAATTCAACTATCTCAACAATCACAACTAAAAGTTGAGATATAACAATCACTCAAAATGAGTGATAGTTTCTATCACATAACAGAAACAATTCATGTATTGTTTCTGCTAAAAAAACAAAAAAACGATGCATTGTAAACAATACATGCATAATGACAATCTCAACAAAACAATCGCAACTTCCAAACGACACCTTAATCTCAAATTCTCAATCCCAAAAATATAAATCGATATTAATACTACCAAATAGTGATAAATTCAATACCACAATGTATTGCCATCCTAATACCAAACTGCCGGCCTAACTCACGGTATATAAAACCCCACAGGCGACAGACGACACTTACCTCTTCTTTGACTCACCCACCAAAACCCTTCGGCGCAATCTTTCCTCTCTCCCACACCTTCAATTCAATCCATGGAAGCTCCAACTGACTTCTCATCCTTGGCGCCACTCCTCTTAGCAATTGCCATCACATTACTCTTCTCACTCAACCGATTCCTATCACCCGGACCCAAAAACCTGCCGCCGGGGAGCCTAGGATGGCCGGTGATCGGCGAAACCCTCCAATTCCTCTTCGGCACCCCTGAAAAATTCATCTCCCACAGAATGAAGAAACACTCTCCGCAAATCTTCAAAACCAACATCCTCGGCGAGAACACCGTCGTCCTATGCGGTCCCGCCGGCCACAAATTTCTCTTCTCCAATGAACAAACCATCTTCACCGTCTTCCGCCCGCATTCCATCCAAAAGCTCTTCAGAGAACCCAAGGCCCGAACCGTAATCCAGCCCAATTCGGCGGGCGTCACAAAGCTCATGAGATCTCCGGGGTTCCTAAAACCAGAGGCCCTCGTGAGATACGTCGGAAAAATGGATTCTTTCACCCAGAACCACATTCGAGCTTACTGGGAAGGCAGAGAATTGGTCCACGCATTTCCCCTGGCGAAGTCGCTGACTCTGTCTCTCGCCTGTAGCTTCTTCCTGGGAACCGACGATCCCACGCGCATCGCCAGGCTCGTCGGGAATTTCGATGACGTCGCCGTGGGATTGCATTCCTTTCCCCTCAATTTCCCCGGAACCGTCTTCCGCCGGTCGATGACGGCGTCCGGGGTGATCCGCGGGGAGCTGATTGCAATCATCAGAGAAAAGAAGGCCGCAATTGCCGGCGGCGCTCCTCTGCTCGACATACTTTCGCACCTCATCGTCGCCACCGACCCTTCTTCGGGGAATCACATGGCGGAGTCCGAAATCGCCGGCAAGGTCATGGGGCTGCTGGTCGCCGGTTACAGCACGGTGGCTACTGCCATCACTTTCTTCTTGAAGTACGTCGGCGAGAGAAGTGACATCTACGCCAAGGTCCTCGCAGGTAATAAAATTAGTTCGATTTGCTTATTATTTCCATCCACCCGTGCTACACATTTATTGCTACGTGAAATTCAATCATGGGAGTCAAAATCACGTTTTAAATCACAAAAAACGTGAAATCGCGATTTTGGCTGCATTGCTTTTTACGAAATTTACAAATTACAGAGCACAGGGAGATCTCGGGGAGGAAGAAGGCAGGGGAAATGCTGGAATGGGACGACTTTCAGGGGATGAAGTACTCATGGAACGTGGTACAGGAAGTGATGAGGCTAACGCCGCCGCTGCAGGGGGCATTCAGGGAAGCGCTGACGGAGTTCAGTTACGGCGGCTACACGGTGCCGAAAGGGTGGAAAGTGTACTGGACGGTGAGCACGGCGAATATGGACCCGGATTACTTTCCGGATCCGGAGCGGTTCGACCCGTCGAGGCATGAAGTGGATAATAATAAAACGGCTGCTTTCGCGTTCGTGCCGTTCGGAGGCGGGCCGCGGATGTGTGCAGGGAAAGAGTACGCGAGGCTGGCGATCCTGACGTTCGTGCACAATGTGGTGACGAGGTTCAAGTGGGAAGCCGTGGTCGCCGGTGAAAAGGTGGTCGGAGATCTGATGCCGACTCCCCAGTTAGGCCTTCCTCTTCGCCTTCAACAACACTGAAAATACGTCCATACCATTAAAAAACAAAAACAAAAACGTGCTTTGACTGTAGTTTCACGTATCCGCTCGGTTTGTTTTGTGATTTTCTTTTCAATTTGTTCTGTAACTCTTCGTTTTGTGATGTTTGCCTGTAGTATGAGCTCCGAGTATGATCTCGCAGTCATACTGTAGTTTCGCATCTCCGCTCGGGTTTATTTTGTAATTTTTTCTTTTTAATTTGTTCAGAAACTCTTTGTTCTGATTTTGGTACGAGTGTGCTCTAATTTCCCCTGAAGTTGGGTAGTATGAGTTCTGAGTATGATCAGAGACACAGTCATACTTTCCGCCAGCCGGTGGTTGCTTCGGGTACTGTTGTTATCGACCTAGCTTCTTTTGTTTCCCTGGGAATTTAATCAATCTACGCATAAAAAAAATATCACAAAAATTGTAAACATTCCAATGAGTTTGGGTTTTAATTTTTTTTTTTATTTACTATTTAGAAATAGATCTGCTTATATTATTACTGGATAAAGTTTAGGTTTTAATTAATCCTTATGATTATTGAATTTCTTTTAGAACCAGCGTTTGATAATTTTACTTGTTGACATTTAATAGAAAAATAAGGCTACAAATCTATATATCATATCTTTACGTTTATGAAATATTAGATATCTCTGATTTTATTTTTTTATGAATTAGTTTATGTTATATCATAAAAAAGGATTGTTGACAACCATCCTTACCGACTAGGAAGCTATACTTTTTTTTTTACAAGGAAATGCTTGCATTGCATTTCAATGTGGAGCAAAGTTAGAGTACATACAACATACATACCCCAAGAGAGGCATCACAAAAGCAAAGGGAAAATGAAAGCCCAACATAATGGCCCGTACAAATGCAAATGAAGGAAATAGAAACAGGCCTAGCAAAAGTACAACCAAAATATAGAGCTCACACAAACCCTAACAAGCAAATGTGAATCACCCCACAGCAGCAGCCGCCTCCTTCAACCCTCAAGAACATCAGCTGATCACCACCAAACAGGCCGCATGAAGATCCAGTCCCTCCGAAAAGAAGATCCCCAAAGAAGAGCCTCCAAAAGCCAAGAGAAGAGACATGCAGAGACACGAGAGGGAAAACCAAAGTCGACAGGAAGAGATCAGAGGAACCCGACGCGATCTGAGAGAGTGTGCCCCTGCCTTCTTGTCCATAAACCACATCCAGACCGTTGCATGATGAGAAGGTCGTTGCATCTCCGGATCACCGACTCTGTGGGTGAAACAAGGAGGTAGATGGGAGATTTACCAACAAGAAGACAAGCCACAAAAATGGATTTCCATAGCCCCCTTTGCCCACCAGAACGAGCCCTCCAGAGCTTCAAGATCTAGACTAGAAACCAAAAGCTGGAGCAGAACCAAATCGAGAACCGATTTCAAGATATGAAACCAGATCTGAAATGTGGAGGAAACAACTCCAAGGAGAAGTTCATGGCAAAATCCACTTAGGGAAGTAGCATAATAGAAATGGAGAGAGCCACAAGAGCTGGGGAAAAAAAACAAGCAGGATGTAGAGGATGGAAAATGGGTTGCCGCCTGTCACCCAGAGGTGAAGCCGGCGACTCCCCCGTTGGAGACTAGAAAGAGACGCTGGAGAGAGGTCAGAGAGTTTTTACGTAGAGAGAGATAATAATTACTTCATCCCGCTGCTAACTAGGAAGCTATACAATGTGAACTATATATATATATAACTAACCCCCAGAGAGCAACTAATAAGGCAATTTGATCCTCCATCAACACCCCAACCTTGTTTTTAATCACCTTCATCAGAACTTCAATCTCAAACTTTACCCCTGCATAGATTCGCCTAAACAGTTCACGCCACATGTGACTTAGTAATAAATCCCACACTATTTTCCTTGCATCCTTGAGTGGAGAGGTCCTGAGGATGCATTGAAACTTTGTTCTGCCCAGCAAATCTCAAAGCCTCTGTGAAGAGCAAAATGATCATACAAAATGCTTATCCAACAGCTGAACAAAAACCTCCATGTACACATCACACATTGTTTCAACCTCTTTATCACACAGAACACAGTTCATAGGGCCGGAATACCCCTACGAAGCCATTTTTGCCCTCGTATGGATTCTTTGCTTCACAAACAACTAGAGGAGAAATTTATTTTGAGGGAATCTAGGGCCTTTCCACACAAGACGCACCCATGTAGGGCGAGGTTGGGTTGGCCTGAGAGTGTTCCACATTTTTTTAACAAAGTATTTTGATATAACTTCATCTTTCCAACAAACCTGACCATCCATCTCTGAGAAAAACTGCTAACTTTTGGATGAAGCTTCAGAAACCGCTTCCAACACCATGAACCCGCAGTCCCTTGATACTTGATAGTGCCAGAATGAATTCTTTAGCTTGTATTTGATTAACCACGCAATCCAGGAACAGAGATCCTTAATGCCTAACCCCCTTCTTTAATAGGGAAAGCAACTTGATTCCATGTCACATTTGTCCGTATCTTATCTCCCATTTCAATACTGTAACATCCCGTTTCAGCTAAAATCGTATTACTGTCACTAGAAAATTTCACGATTTAAAATCGAGCATTTTGGTAGTATTTCGACGAAAATCGGATTATCGATCGATCAGATAAGTATACGTATTAATTATATATATATATATATATATATATATATTATAATTACCAGCATATATATAAACCTTTCCCCCCACCGGTCTATTTAATTCCCATCTTTATCTCTTTCTTCCATTCTTTCCCTTTTCTGTAACAAGAGCAACGATTGAGAAACAGGGCGCACAGGGGAGAGAGAGCAGAAAATTCTCCGAGCTCGATTCTTGAGCTTTAGCAATCCAAAAATCTCGTAAGTAACGCCTAATCCATCTATACATCGTGATTTATCAATTTAGAGCTTTAAAACGAGTTTTTGGTTCAGGAATTTCTTGAATTCTCGATAAGCCAAATTAGGGTTTCGGAGTATCCGGAAGCCGGATTTAGCCCAAATTTCATATACGAGCTTCCTGCAGCGAGGTTATCAATCCTCTAGTTCTAATCCCTGAATTTCGGAAATTATTTAGGTCGGGGTCCAAATCGCTGAATTTAGCTCCGGCCAGAGTTTGATGTGTTTTTATCAAGAATTTGACCCGGAGCCTAGAACTAATATTGACGGGGATACTACAAGGGATATTAGGACGGTCTCGGATTTTAATTTGGGGGTTCTTTCGTGAAATTGACGTTTTAGTACGGGAAGGTTAAACCGGTGTTTGAACGACCAGAACTGTGAGGGATTAGCACGACATACCGGGTTTGTCGTATCACGATAATTATATTGATGCTTAGAATTGACCTAGGTGAACTAGAATGGTATGATTAAGGGTGTATGAACTTTTGTGCTATATGATGAACCATGGACATCTGTATGATATTATTGACTTTCCCTAATCGAGATGGACCTTGTTTATGCTGATGATTTCGTATATGTTGCAAATTGTGGGCTTGACTGTTGATATGCCTTATGATGGTTCGAAAAGGTGATTGGGTATGATTTTTCATGATTGTTGTATTTGGATGCACATGTGGGAAAATATATATTCCCTGGTGATGTTATGACCTTTAAGGAGGATGACTTGCACGAGGGTTTATCCCGAGGAAGTGCAATTATACGACTCCTGATTTACCTATGTTGAATCAATTGTGGCCAGGTCAAGTACATGTGCAAGTAGCGAATTATGATTAAGCAAGATGAGATATGGATCATGGATAAGGATACCAAGTAAGAGTACTTTGGTCTCATGGTCAATTACATAGTAATTAGGGCTCCCCATGCTATTACTCTGTTATGATATGTTATGCCACACCCCTGATGTGGTGTTAACCGTTGATTCATCATGAGATATGACCACACCTAGAGTGGTGTCAAGTCTGATATGACTACACCGACAGTGGTGGGTCCGATATGACCACATCCATGAGATGTTTGGTCCGTATTCCCGGGAGAGTAATTAGCATGGGAGTAGCCAGGCGCCTATGATTAAAACATGATAAGATGCATATGCATAAGTATGGTATGCAGTTGTGGAGTATGAAAAGTGTGACTATGGCTAAGAAAAGCCAATGCATATGGTTGTGAGTATATATGTTTGTGATGAGTTATTTTGCAGGATAAGTTGCAAGAACTGTTAGTCCATTACGCGAGTAATTCATGTTGAAATTTTCTTTGGGTAAATTTTGATAATTAATGTAACACCTGAGATTAACAGCCGCAAGAAGAACTGTCGGAATCCATACATGCATATCAAGCAGAGTTCGATCTTGTCGCAAAAGAGAAAGGGGTATATATGCAAACGTTGGAATTGGCTGAGAATGGTGATGGATGGCATGGCCCTTACTTTGTCCAATCCACAAGCGATGTCGTGAACCGTCTTAACCGCTATCCACTTGGGCATGGAAGACCACTATACAAGGCGAGGATCCCACCCTCAACATTCTTCGTTCATAACAAAAGATGCAAGAAACCCATTGGGTCATGGCCTCAGAAAGATGCGGGCTATAATGCATGGTTCACGCGACTTCTGGAGGATGTGCCCACAACTCGACTGTGGGCTAGTGCTGGGGTTTGGAGGCTTTTATCCTTATGCACGGAGATTCGAGAACCTGACTGTGAGCTCTTAAAGCAGCCTTGTGCTTCTGGTCCACAGCTTCCAACTGTTTTGTATTCCCGCTTGGAGCAATGACGGTCACCCTCATGGACCTCACTGCCTTAACTGGCCTGTCATTCGAATCGGCAACTAACGCAGCCATTGATCTCCCTACGCATCAACCACCCTTTTCGCAACCATCATTCACCGCCCTGCGGCAGCAATACCATCCTGCTGCCAAAGATGCCCCCGTGACCCAGGAAGAACGTGCTGCCTTTATCCACTATTGGCTCTACAAATTCATCATCTGCCCGAGTTCAGGCACACCTCGCCAATCTCTGTCCGAACTCTCGTACATGATTGCTGCTGGACATCCTCCTTCTGAATTTGCCGAACTCATACTCGCCCATCTCTACCACGGCATGTTTACACTTCATCACCACCTCGTCACTGGTGCCGCCCCTAATGGCTCGGGTCCTCTATGGTTAATGCTCCTGTGGATTTAGCATACTTTCCTTCCCGACGCAAATATATGACGGGCTTGGAGAAATACGATCCCAAAAAATTTCCTGACTCCTATGGCCATTACTTCATTGAGGCTGAACCCCTGGGGCGAGATTTTGTTGATAACTTCTCGTACTTTTATCGGGTTAAAGTGATACCTACATTTGCCCCTTTCAGAAGGCGTCTCCTTGGTGCTTGTTCCTTCATTACTACTTTCAAAGAGAAACCTGAAAGCCCTTCTACGTCTTACCAGAGATTTGCCCGCCAATGGAAGAGATGGTTGCAACCACGGGACTTAGTCTTCACCCCTATCGGCGCCAAGAATCCCACGTCCGAGGTCTACAATCCACACTATGCATCGCGCCAATTTGGCCTTATTCAAGCATGGTCATTGACCATGCCACATTCGCCTCAACTCGCTGATCCTACCGGTCGTCGACACTTGAGCAATGAAGAAACCCAAGATTTGAAGTTGTGGCAAGACGATCTCATAAAATCAGTGAAACCCGGTTTCTTCAAACATACGGAGAAACATACCTCCTGATTCTTCCACAAAATGTGGCCGCCCAAGGCGGAAACCCTTGCCCTCTTTGATGGTGATCCGATCCTGATAGCACAAGGATTGATTCAGAATGTTCCGGCGGCCATTCCTATGAAGGCTCCAACTTCAAGTAATGGAAAAAGGGTACAAACATCCAAACCTCCAGTCAAACATCGTCTAGGTATGTGTCTTGGCTTCTATCTCCTTGTTCATCATTTTTTTTTGGCCGACTCTAATTAGTTATCATCGTCTTCACAGCCCTTAAAGAAAGCGATCCTCCCACAAGGCCATTGAAAAATGTCATTTCTCTAGCAAATGAACACTTTAAGTATTTTTTTTCCGTAGAGGACTCTTATACTAACTCGAAATTTTCCTTCTTTTCTAGTCACAACCCGTTGAGTTGAGTGATGACTCTGAGGACTCCGACATGGGTGGCCGTGGGGACGGAAATGACAAGACTGGCAAGGCAAATAAAGTGCATGACTCCGACTCGGACGATGCGCCCTCCACCGACTCTAATGAATCTCATAATGTGGCACGTGAGTCTCCCGACCGCGTCGACATGGAGTCTCAAGAAGTTGACATCCCTACTGATCATACGACGGGTCAAGACACCAGTTCCCTTGACATCCACTTCCAACCTAGTCAGCTGGCCAACGTGGCATCACCATCTGCTTCCCTCACTCTGGCAAAGGCAAACACCATCCAAGCCCCTCCCAGAAAACTTGGATTTGGAAGCTTCGTGACTACGCACCTCATGCCCCCTGATGAACATACCACAAATGGAGTCCCCACGTCCACTTTGTTCACTTCGAACCATGATGCTTTCTCTTCGAGCTCGACCCCCCTGGTGTCCACCCCTGTCATTGGAATTGAGGACTTTAATGAAGACTTGGAGGAGACATTCAATGTTGAGGACCAAGCACGAGTTTTACAAGAAAGAATGTCTGAAGACGAGCACACGGTGAAGGAGGCTGCTGAGAAAGAGGCGCCTATCATCCCTCCCACTAGCCACACGCACACGTCTTCCTCTGACCATGCGAGTAGCCCTGTCGACTTGGTAAATTTCTTTCTCCCTATCATTTTGTACGTATACTTTTATGTTGGCCATTTTTTTCGAATTTGATCATAACAGGTGCCACTTCTTGCAGGGCATGGCCACTCTTGATGAGAACCTTGAGTACCTTAAGGACTTGGAGACTCAATTCCTTGTGAGCACCTCGTCCACTATCAGCAACCCTCCCACATCATCCATCAAGAGTGCATTGACCGCTGTTGGAGAGTTCCTTGCCCTTTTGCCAGACGGGGTCATGGGAGACTTGGATGCTTACTGGCCTCATGAGGCTTTAAACCTTCTTGCTACACTCGAGCTCTATCCTCCGGTTCAAGGAGTAGACATGGAACAAGTGCTAGTGATGCGGAGTGCTGCCTCAGATATCAAGTCTTGGCTCGATACTATTGAACAAGCTCGTGCTATCCATGAGAAATTGGCTCATGAAGAGGAGGCTAAAGCCACCACTCACTCTTCTCTTCAAAAAGAGTTGGCCAAAGGAAAACAAACATCAAGTGAAGTAGCTACGTTCCAAGCTAAGGAGGCTACCCGCAAGGCCAGGATTGCTGAGCTTAAGGTAGAGCTTGAACGTCTTGAAGAGGAAGAGGCTCAAGAACGAGCTCAAAAAGAGTCCCTAGCACGAAATCTTAATGAAACAACGGCCACCATTCGTGCTCTTCGCCAAAAAATAGGATCCCTCATGGCTGTAAACGAGATTGCTCTTCAACGAGCCAAAGCGAACTTCATGGATCGTGAAAGCAAGACCAAGCTCAACAAGTTGAAGGCTAGCTTTGAAGAAATTCTCAAGTCACTCAATGCTTAATTGTCTTTGTTTTATTTCCTTAACAGTTGGCTTGGCCATTGTTTGGCTTTTGATTTGTCGGTTTTTTTTTTCTTTCGGATTTTGTAACTCGTTTTACATATGACTTTTAATATTTTCGTGGCCCCTTTGTTTATCACCATGATGTCGTGTTCTCTTAAAGCTGGATGGCCACTTGATCCGAACCGGGTGGTAGCCCGTCATTTTTTCCCACAAAGCCCCGTGGCTCACTTAGTCAAGCCTGGCTTCACATAGAAAGCCACCAAAGCACTCATGCTCATGGCTTGAAGTTTAATCGATAACTCCCATGTCCTTCACATACAATCTTGTGGTGGTTGAAATCAAACTTAGATTTTTCTTTTTTTTTCAATATTGAAGCCAAACCACTCGCTTTAGGAGCCCAGATGGGTGGCCTCAACTCTCTCAACACTAACACTTTCACCACCAATCCACACGACCACCTAGCCCTCTCTACCTTCTCATGCGACTTCCCATACGACGCACTTTTCCTTAGCCAAAATTCGGCTCTTTCATAAGAAAGTCAATATAGCATCATTCGTCTCTATCGCACATCACCACTAGGCTCAGACCGAAACCACCTTGAAGGAAAAACAAACCTCCCAATAATTCCCTAGCCCTTTATTGTGCGGCTGTAAAAGGAACTTAAAACTCGGCCGCTCACCAACTCCCAACTAGCTAAACTCACAATCGCTCGGTAATGACCCGGCAAGCCCCCATGCCGCGGAACCAATTACATTCGGGGTGACCTTACAGCAACTCTTGCCACTTCAAACTTTCTTGCCCTCCATGGAACTCTTGACTACTAGGTGGTTGTTTATCATTGCGTTATTTTCTTTTATTCCCTCATCGAGTTCGAGTAATGATCTGAATGTTCTTTCTTCACCGATGGATGATATTGCACTCAACTTGCCCATACTGTACGTATGTCGCTATCCATCTCCATTGCCATATATGCCCTCACGCCATGAAATCTCTACTCATCGCTTTAGTGTATATACATATACACGTAACTGCTTTAGTACAACATCCCGGCATCCTAGCCGCCTTTTATCTATGAAGCAACAAGTCCCCTTCCATTATTCAACCTTGTGGCCCATTGGGGTAACTTGGCATGGCATGGCATCTTATGACCTCCATGCCACTCCAAATGCCTTAGTGAAAATCAAGCTTGTTGACACCCCACGTCCCAAAGTGAAATGACATAAGGTTTAAGATATTTTCCATTAATGAGACGATCATGTAATACCCCATCAATATCCTTCAAAAGACACGCCCCGTTGGGACGGGTGGCATGGACAATGAAAGGACCACGCCAATTTGGAGACCATTTTCCAAACTTCGGGTCCTTGTCCCCGATGGGTAAGTGTAACTTCCATACTAACTCACCCTCTTCGAATGACTTGTGCTTCACCCTTTTGTTGTAAGCTCGTGCCACTTTGTCTTTTTGAACTCTAATGTTATCAAGAGCTTTGAGTTGAAGCTCATCAAGATCACACAACTCCAGCATCATGGACTCATAATACTCACAGGGCGTGAGCTCATGTTGATGCATGTATCTTAATGACTTGACGGTCACTTCGAGTGGCAAGAAAGCTTCATGGCCGTATGTCAAAGCAAAAGGTGTCACCTTTGTACTACTACGAGGTGACATCCGATAAGCCCACAGAGCTTCTGACAAGTGCTCATGCCACTTCCTAGGATTATCTTCAATCATTTTAGACAAGATTCCCTTCACCACCTTGTTGGACGCTTCAGCTTGACCATTAGCCTGAGCGTAGTATGGGGTAGAATGTATGATTTTGATCCCATATTCCTTAGCAAATTCCATCACCTCCCCTCCTGTAAACACAGTACCTTGATCCGCTGTTATAGTAGCAGGCAATCCAAACCGATGGATTATGTTCTCTTTTATAAACTTGATCACTTCACCTTGATTTACCACCGTCATTGGCTTGGCCTCCACCCACTTTGTAAAGTAGTCCGTTGCCAAGATAATAAATGTGTGCTTGTCCGAGGACGCAGGGTAGATCTTCCCAATCAAGTCCATTGCCCAACCAAAGAATGGTCGTGGTTTGATGATGGACTTCAAATCAACCGCAGGAGCTCTTTGGACAGGGCCATGTTGCTGACAGGCCTCTCACCCCTTAGCAAACGCGGCACAGTCCTCTCCAATGGATGGCCAGTAGTAGCCATACCTATGAAGTACCCATCTCATGGCAGGTCCAGCTTGATGAGCACCACATATGCCTTCATGGACTTCTCCCATGGCTTTCAAAGCCTCTTTGCCCCCCAAACACTTCAACAACAAACCATCTGGTCTCTTCTTGAACAGGACCTCATCTAATAGCACATAGTTCCTAGCTTTAAACTTGATGGATCTGTCGACATCCCCATTGGGATTTTTCAAGTAAGCCACCAAAGGAGTACGCCAATCTTCGGGGTTTTCTCCATCTATTTGGAACACTTCTACTCCTTGCTTCAAACGCTCTCTCAATGGACTAAGTGTTTGTACAAAGATCTGCTCTCCTCCCCCATGGTAGAGCTCCCTAAAGCCTGATGCCAGTTGTGCTAAGTAGTTGGCCTTGCCATTGTCTTGTCAAGGCACAAACTTGATAGATACGTTGTCAAAATGAGTTATCAGGACTTGGACATACTCGAGGTATGTCTCTAACACGTAATTGACACAACGAAAGTCACCAAGTACTTGGTGGACTACCAATTGTGAGTCCCCTTTTATGTCAACACTCTTAGCTTTTAAATTGACAAGCATCTCCAGCCCAACCACCAAGGCCTTGTACTCAGCCTGGTTATTAGTACATGGAACATCAAGAGTAAAAGCAAAAGACATGGCATGCCCGGATGGGGCAGTGAGCACCACCCCAGCCCCCGCTCCCGAACGTGTCTTCGAACCATCGAAATATAAAGTCCAAGGGGCTTCACTAACCATCCCTATCTCTACTAACTCGGGAGGCACGTCCACACATGGGTGGTCGGCCAAGAAATCGGCTAAGGCTTGGCCTTTGATGGCCTTTTGTGGTACGTACTGCAAATTGAACTCTGATAGTGCAAGTGTCCACTTACCAATCCTCCCACGGATAATTGGTCGGGACAACATGTATTTAATGAAATCGGTCTTACATATGAGTTGTACTTGAACAGGCATCAAGTAGTACCTTAGCTTCATACATGAAAAATATAAAGCCAAACACAATTTTTCTATGGCAGAATACTTTTGCTCGGCCGTGTTTAGCAATCTACTTAAGTAATACACGGCCTGTTCATGACCTGAATCATTATCTTGAGCCAACAGACACGCAATAGATGTGTTAGTGGCTGAAAGGTACAACTTCAAAGGCCGTCGTGGAATGGGAGAGTTGAGCACTGACAGGTTTGCCAAGTACCTTTTGATGGCATCAAAATCTTGTTGATGCTCTTGACGCCATACAAAGTCCTCCTCCTTCTTCAACTTCAGCAACGGGGAGAACACTTGAGTCCGGCCCGCACAATTCGAGATGAAACGTCGAATGTAATTAACTTGGCCGAGGAACCCTTGAAGTTCCTTCTTGTCACGTGGTGGCATGGCCTCTATGATGGCCTTAGTCTTACTTTTGTCAACCTCAATGCCACGTTGGCTCACAAGGAACCCTAAGAAGTCACCTGCGGACACACCAAATGCACACTTAAGTGGATTTAGCTTCAATTGATGGCTTCTCATACGTAAGAAAGCCATGCGTAAATGAGAGAGGTGTTGTCTTGCTACCTTGGACTTGACCACGATGTCATCCACATACACCTCCACCAACTCACCAATCAAGTCATGAAAGATAGTATTCATAGCTCGTTGGTAAGTGGCACCCGCATTTCTCAACCCAAAAGGCATGACCACCCATTCGTAGCATCCAATTGCTCCTGGAAACCGAAACGCGGTCTTGTGGACGTCTTCCTCGGCCAAGTAAATCTGATTATAGCCTGAGTAACAATCCATGAAAGAAAAAATTTCATGCCTAGTCACTGCATGGAGCAACATGTCAGCAACTGGCATGGGGTATTCATCCTTAGGAGTGGCTAGATTCAAATTCCTAAAATCTACACACACTCTTATCTTACCATTCTTCTTTCTAACTGGCACTACATTAGACAACCACCTCAAATACCTAGCTGTTCTTATGAACCCAGCTTTTAACAGTCGTTCAATTTCTTTCTTTATCTCTGGCAAGACCTCGTAAGCAAAGCGCCTAGGCGGCTGCTTGTAAGGCCTGAAACCAGGACTAATTGGCAATCTATGCTCTACCAACTTTCTATCTAGACCAGGCATTTCATGATAATCCCACGCAAAGCAATCTTTAAATTCTTTCAATAAGTTTATTAACTCGTACCTGTCTTGCTCAGAGAGCATGGCACTGACGAAGGTTGGGCGCGGGTCCTCTTCAGTGCCAAGATTGATTTCTTCTAGGATATCACGAGAAGTCATGTGATCCTCTTCTTCCTCAGCCATACTTGGCCCCTCGCCTTCTTCAGGCGAATCCTCTTCGGGAACACAGTCAGCCACCAACACAAGCTCCTCCCAAGCTAGCCTTTGTTCGAACTGATAAATGGCCAACCTCCCCATCAAGGCCGTGACTTCGGCCTCCCTCGCCACCTTGTCTTGTTGTGGCATACTCATCATCATCTTTTACTTCAGCCTTAGGTGGACCATCAAGAGATATCATAGATGGTCTCACTATCTCTGAGAGTGGATCGATTCAAGCTTTGCTCAAAACCTTGGCACTCGAGAATACCACGGTACAAGACCCACCATCCATACTACTAACTTGAAGTGGCCCAAAGTCTCCACCGTATAATAGAGCTTCGGCCACGTTGGCTCCCACGGCAAAGGGCTTGGCGTCTGCTTGTACCACTTCGACCACACCTTCTTCATTCCAGAACATCAAACATTGATGAAGCGAAGATGGGACACATTTGTTGGTATGGATCCAGTCTCTTCCCAACAAAGCATTGTAACTTATCACCCCATCGACAACAAAGAAAGCAGACATCCTTTCTTGACTACCCACTCTCACCATGATTGGAAAAATTCCTCTTGCTGAAGTTGATCCTCCATTAAAACTTGTAACAAAGATATCCGTAGGAATCAAATCACCAGTGCTCTTCCCAAGTTTCCTTAACATACGAGTTGGCATCACGTTGACAGCAGCTCCGTTGTCAACCAAGACTCTTGACATGGGCACACCATCAAGTCTAGCCTTAATATAAAGAGGTTTCAAATGCTTTATCATACTTGGCTTGGGCTCTTTGAACACCACCAAGTGGCTTGACTCATCACTTGCAGTTTCCTTCA